TACTAGTGGTTTAAGAGAACTGTTTTTAACTGTCAGACCTATATTTTAGATGTCTGGAAATCAAATTTTAACCAATGTATTGAAAAAGTGAAAACCTTTTCTAACCCTGAAACCTATATATTGAATTGAAGGTTATGAATGAGATCAGGCTGTAGCACCAGACCCAGGAGTTATTAACTTTATATTTTTGTCCTTTTCAGCACTGAATGTTACCTTGAAAATGATACATATGATACCAAAAATTAAGGGGAAGGTCTTCTTAGTAATGTAAAATATTCTCTATGTTGGGTGCTATCCAGCAGATACAGCCTGCAAGACACTTGTGTGTTGAGCAGAACGATCTCATTATTAGAAGAGTGATGCAAAGTGGTTTATTTCATACCCTGAAATCACTCAAGGAAATAACTGGAGTAGATTATATTTATCCTGGACTCTGTATTGTGCTATTATGTTTAGCAATAACAGGCAGCATATTAAAATAGAGATTAGGGACTACAACCATTCTTTTGAAGGCAGTTCTGAAATTTCAAAGCTCTTGAATTATTCAAGTATTTTTCAATTTATAAAAGATGATTGACTGCTTGATGATGTGACGGTATAAATACAAACATTGAAAAGTATGCAGTGTATATTTTCCCCATAGTTGTATTGAACCACTGTAATTGAAGGTGTTGATTTTGTGTCAGTAGCAGCCATAATTAAGAGAGGAAACAGATAATTTATTTGGTCAATGCCCTACTTTTAAACAAAGGAAAAAAAAAATCCAATCAAGGTAGAAATGGACACAGTTACAATATGAAACTGAATAGAAATATTCAGTCCATTTAATATTAGAAAATCTGAATGAATATTAAACCTTTGTTGTTTTCTCTCCCTATTTACAAAGCCAGTAAAACACGTTTAACATGTAACATTTTTAAGTAGCAATTGCAATATAAAAACCAAAACAATTTTCTGAATATATGTTTGTGTCTTTTAAAATGTATCTTTATGTTATTCAAGGAATCTAGAAATTGGGCTTTTAATTAGTTTTTGATAAATCCAAGTTTTTTCTAGACTGAAAAATGCTCGTGCTCTACACACCACATGCAGAGAAAGTGCTGGTTATGATGCATGCATGCTATCATCATCTGAGTGTTCACAGTATTCTTTTTAAGGACGACTGTCTTTTTCTTTTCATTATGTGGCTTTAAGCTTCTGTATATGTTCCTCACTTACTATGGAATAGAGAGCATTTTATGGAGAGATTGGCAATTATCTCCTGAAGTATCAGCTATCAAAAAATATCACAGTGTGCCTTATGATAGGAATGCTGATTTTCTATTCTGACAAAATTGAATTAGCACCTTCACATAGATTAGCACATTGGCTGAGCAGTAGTGTGAGGAATTTTCTGGAAGATATTTAGGGTATTAAGCCTTCCAGCTGTAATAAGGTTAATACAGTTCTAAATGACTTGAATGTCAGTTTTGGTATAATATTTCTGAAAGCAGGAAGAGAAACACTCTCATATTCACTTCATTCAAAGACCACTTTGGGAAGAGGACATGTTTCCTTAAGGTTATCACTGAGTGTAACTCTAATAAAGCACAGAATTACAGAATGATTGAGGTTGGAAGATACCTCTGTATGTCATACAGTCCACCTAGAAATGGTTTTTCAGCCCTATGTCTCTCTGGCTTCTACATATCTCCAAGAAGGAGAGTTCACAACCTGCTGTGTGAATTTTCAGTAACTTACAGAAAGAAAGTGTTTCCTGGTGTTCAGAAAGAGCCTGCTGTGTTTCAATATCTGCCAATTGCCTCTTGTCCTATTACTGGGCACCAATGGAAAGAGCCTGGCTCTGCACCTTCCCTTCAGGTTTTTGTATTCATTACTAAGATCCCCCCTAAGCCTTCTACAGACTGAACAGTCTCAGCTCTCAGCCTGTGCCCATAGCAGAGATGCTCCAGTCCCTTAATCAGCTTTGTGGGCCTTTGTTGGACACTGCAGTCTGCACATATCACTTGTATTCAGGAACCCAGAGCTGGACACAGTGCTCCAGGTGCTCATTAGTTCTGAATCCAAAATACAGCACTGAAAATACAGCTGGCTGAAAAGACATGAACTCTCTCCCATCTGAATCCAGGAGAATTAGATATTGTCTTAAGATATCTGGTAGGACATTTTGAAGTGGTTTGTGCCAAAAAATGAATAAACACTTCAGTGAATACATAGATAAATCAGATGATCCATAGCAGGCTTTTCTCAAATATTAGGATATGCTGAGTTAGAAGGCACGCATCAGATCATGGGAGTCCAATTCCTGGCCCTGCACAGAAAACCCCAAGCAAAACCGGGGCCTGAAAACAATGGCCAAACAACTCCTGAAACCCGGCAAGCCCGGTGCTGTGATCACTTCCCTGGGGAGCCTGTTCCAGTGCCTAGCCACTAGCTGAAAAGCAGTTTCCCAGTTTTTAGTTTTTTTAATTTAAACCTCCACTGACACAGCTTCATGTCATTTCCTCAAGTCCAGTCACAAGTCATGAGTGAAGAAATTGGGACCTGCCCTTCTATTTCCCCTCATGAGGATGCTGAAGACCCCAATGAGGTCTCCCCTTGGTCTTCTCTTCTCCAGACTAAGATAAGTGACCTCATACAACTTCCCCTCAAGGCCCTTCTCCATCCTCACTGTCCTCCTTTGGATGTTCTCTAACAGCTCAATGTTTTTTTTGTATCATGGCACCCAGAACTGCCCCAGCACTGAGGTGAGGCCACCCCAGGGCAGAGCAGAGCAGGACAATCCCCTCCTTGCCCAGCTGGCCATGCTGTCCCTGATGTCCCCAGGACAGGGATGTCCCTCCTGGCTGCCAGGGCCCCGCTGGCTCACACCCAGCTTTCCATCAACCAGGACCTCCACGTGCCTTACGAGATATATAATGCTGAAATAAAGTCAGTGGCATCTACCCTGCATACTTAATCCTTCATTCAAAAACAAAGGGCTTGAGTTGGTGCTATTCAGCAATATATTCTCATGGATTCTGCAAGTTAAAGGAATTGGGAACCATTAGAACTTGAGAGAGAAGATATAACTTACAAACTAATAATGTAAACCATTGTGTACTAGTTAAATTAAGCGGTGAAAGGCAAGATTAAAATCTGATGATAAAGTATGATGAAGAAGTTATTACCTGGTAACTTATATAATGAAATTAACACTGCTTAGAGCTGGCTGTTAATTCATTTTTGACATTGGGATTTAGAAGCAGAGAGAAATAAAATCAGGTGAGAGAGAATGCTCTTTCAGAGAGGTAAAAATTAAATGATAAAAGACGTAATTGAATCCTGGAATACATGAAAGTTAGTTTCTTTGGTCCTAAGGGGAAGCTAATAGTGTAGCTTTGTTTCCATTCACTTCAATTTATGCATGAGTACAACTAAGTCTTATTAGGGCCTCGTAAGAACACTTACTAATTTTTAGGAACTATTGTATAGGAAAATTGGAACAGGGACATATTATTTTCCCTTCGTGCTCATAAAAGTAAATGCAGGAGGAGACAGTCCAAAGATATATGAAATATCTCTGTGTGTGAATTCTGTTCACAATGCAAATTGACTCTAAATTTTCACTCACTCTAATTCATTCACTTTGTTCCATCTTTCTATGTTGGATTAACTTGGGTTAATTGCTTACACAGGGTTGTGTGAAAATGTCAAAGTCTTTCTTATTTTGCAATATATGATGAGTACTGTGGCATTACTCAAATAAAGGACTCAAAAAATCACTATCTAGTACATTTTTCTCCCAAGTAACAAATCAAAATATTGTCTAAGCTTAAAGTGCAAATACTGCTTTACCTTGCACAGTAGCTGGAATTCCCTGTTAAAGTTAGTACAATTCTAGGATGAAAATAGAGCTTTTCAAAAGTTGATTTTCTAAGATAGCTATCTATCTATCTGAGCTCTTTTAAAGTTAATAAAGAGTCAAAGACAAAATATTTCTATGAGACAGAGATACTAATTTTAAGCAGAAATAAATTGTCCTTCGGATGTACTGATTGCTTTCTACTGGCTGGTTTGGGGCTAGGTAACTAGCTGAGACTAATTTTTTAGTGTATGAATCTAATGATGAGTTTTTTAGTGTATGAATCTAATGGTAAATTTTCATGGTTTAAATTGCTTAAAAATATATAAGCTTTTGTTTAGGAAGAAATTTTAGAAAATATCTCTTTTACTTTTGTAGTTTTGATATTCTTAAATATACAGGGGATGAGGGTGTGAGTGTGGTGGTTTTTTGGCCTTGGTGTTTAGTTATGTTACTGGGGTTTGGCATGTCAAATAAATTTAGTTTTGCTTTCTGATGAGCAGTTATTGTGGGACAGTATTGGTAAGGTTATTCAGCAGGAAAAAAAAAAAAAGATAAAACATTAATAACCATAATTTGTAATGCAGTTCTAGAAAGTCAGGAACTCCAACTAAGATCTGTTTAACATGTTCTTGAATAATCCATTTATATTATTGATAGTAATTTTCCTGGAAATAACTTTTTGTGCATCTGTTCTTATTGTAAAGACAGTTTCTTCTCCTCCTTCAAATCTATCCCAAACTTTTGCATTTTGGTTCAGATCACAGCTCCTTGTCCTAATATCTTCTGAGACTTTCACTTACATGGTAACACTGAAGATATTTGAAGCAATTTAGATGGTGACATCCTGTGAACCACATGCCCTCTGCATTGCTCTAATTTCACTTCAGCATTTTTTAACTGGTCTTGCTGGAGTTCCACGAAAGATAAAAGAGCAATAGCAATATATGTCCTAATAGCTCTGTTCACTTATAGACAAGTAAAAGACATAAACATAATGAAAATACATTTAATTTTTCAGGGATAAAAAGCATACTGCTAGTCCCTCAATGGCCTTTTTTTTCAAATACAATATTTTCCCACAATAAAAACTGCTGTATGAATAGTGCTTTCCAAAGCCTTTGACAGTCTCTTGTCATTTTCTCTTCTCTTGTAGCTGATGGATGCACTGACTGGTCTGTGGATTACAAGAAATATCAAGTTCTAGTGGGAGAACCTGTTCGTATAAAGTGTGCACTCTTTTATGGATATATTAGAGCTAATTACTCCCTAGCCCAAAGTGCTGGACTTAGTTTGATGTGGTACAAAAGCTCTGGACCTGGAGATTTTGAGGAACCTATAGCTTTTGATGGAACCAGAATGAGCAAAGAAGAAGACTCCATTTGGTTCAGACCAACAGTGGTACAAGACAGCGGGCTCTATGCATGTGTTATAAGGTACTATATTTTTAATATACTGCATTTTAATTGACCAAAAATGAAACAAGGCTCTTAATAACGAGAATTTTGTGTAAAAAAAAAAATTCCTGACGGTGTACTTTTTTCTTCTGCTCCTGACATTCCCTTCCCTGAAAGTTTCTAAACTCTGACTAGAAATTGCTATGAAATGCCTTGAACATATTAAATTTACTTTTGTACAAATTTAGTAATTTATAACAAAATCTAAAATTTGTAAGGTGGCTGGCATTGGATGAATAAGTAATATGTTTCTTTCTCTGATTCTGGTTTCACTCTTGGAATCACTATCCTAGAGTAAAAATATTTTTTTATATATATTTAGATTTAATTTCATGTGGATTTCATTAAGTGACTTAACTGAATTAACTTTTCGTCTGTAAAAAAATTCTATTTGATGTAAAGTAGTTGCATCAAGGAAAGCAGAAGGTGAAATTTCAACACTTTTACATACATCCTTTAGAATTACATCTGGCTTAACCTGATAATAGAGCCTGTGTACCAGACGTCATCCAAAAAACTTTAACCTTCTGATTCATCAAGTTTTAGCACCAGAAACTGGACTGGATTCTGCTCCTGCTTTGCACAACAGGTTTCAGCTGCTTTTTGCATCTTTAATATGGTTTACACAGAGATATTTTTCCAGCCCCTTACAGTATTGTTCTCTATCTGGATAAACCTGGTCATGCTACAAATACACAGTAGAAAGAGTCAAAAGCAAAGTGTAGAGCAACTGAGTGGCTAGGAAAGGAATGCATGATGCAACTAGCACAGTGATGCAAGGAAAATGTGGAAATTGTTTTATCAGCAACTAGAAAGGTTTACTGTCTGTCACGTTTTTTAATTGAGTTTTTTTTTTTTTGCTTGGTTGGTTTTTGTTTTTTGTCTTGGGTAGAGGGAGGGAGAACACAGTTTGCTGTCTGGCTTGTGTGTGCTGACGGAGATTTTTACTAAATAATGTGTTTATAAAAACATTATTCTATGAGCTCTTTATATAATCTGTGAGACATTTAATATAAAATTGTTTGTCCAATGGCATACTCAATATGGTTTTTTAGATGATGACAGTTCTCTTAAAAAGAAAAACACAAAACCCTACAAATTAAGCTCCTTCAAGAGAATTTTTAGTTATATTTGGATTAATATTTTCTGATAAGTGTGTAACAGTAGCTATGAAAATGAAAACAGTTTTGTCAATTATTCCATAATGCAATTTAAAATACCATAATTAATCTCCTCTGTTTATATAAATAAAATCTTAATTATCTGATGTTGCAATTTCCAGCTAGTATAGATAAAGGCTGAATTTAACTACTCAGACTTACTTTATGTTTATAATTTCAACCTGTATCCATGGCTTTTTATACATGGATTTTTATTTAATCCAGAGGTAGGTAGGACCATGTTCTAATCTGCTTTAAACTACTATGATAGTTTGTTACCAGTCCAAAATAAGAGCTACAAATAAACCACTCTTCTTCTCACCACCCCCTTTGGCAAGAGAGGGGCAAAGGCAGAGGCTATGGGTTGAGATAATTGTTTACTGAAAGCAAACAACAGTGGAGTATGAAATGAACAGTACTAGTAGCAATATTAATAACAGATAACAAGGTACTTGGCTTGGTTTGAAAAGACAGGTGTCTGTTAAGGAAGGCAGGAGCCTTCCTTGGAATGAAAAATGTAAACCCCCTCCCTCCAAATTATTATAATTTTGAAGTTAAGGGGCTCTCAGGCAAAGATATGGGAGAAGAAATAACAGTTCTTAATTAGAAAAAAAAAAAATAAAAACTTCCCCTAATGCAGCTTGAGGCTTTTACTCTTGTCCTGTGGCTGGTTGTCTGGGAGAAAAGGCCAGCCTCCACCTGGCTACAACCTCCTTTAGGATAGTTTTAGAAAGCGATAAAGTGATAAGATCTCTCCTGAAACTCCTCTTCTTTTGACTAAACAATCCCAAATCATTCAGCAATTCCTCATATGATTGATTTGCTAGACCTTTCACCAGCTCCACAACCCTTCCCTAGACATGCTCCAGCTGCTTGATGCCTTTCTTGCAGTGAGGGGCTCAAAACTGATCATAAGATTTCAGGTATGGCCTCATCTTTGCTGAGTACAGGGGAACAATCACTGCCCTGTTCCTGATGGCCACACTATTGCTGATACAGGCCAGAATGCCATTGGCCTTCTTGGTCACTTGGGCTGTTGACCAGAACTTCAAGATTCTTTCCTGCTGGGCCACTTTTGAGCCACTCTTTCCTCATCCTGTACCACTGCATGGGGCTGTTGGGACAAAAGTGCATGACCCATCACTTCACCTTTTTCAACCTCATGCAGTTGGCCTCAGCCCATCGATCCAGCCTGTCCCAAACTCTCTGCAGAGCCTTTGCACTATTCAGCAGACCAGCATTTCTGCCCAGCTCACTGTCATCTGCAGAATTACTGAGGGTGCACTCATTGCCTTCTTCTAAACCATTGATAAAAATATAAACAGAACTGGCCCCAGTAGTGGACTGTGGGGAACCCCACTACTGATGGCCAACAACTGAATGTAGCACTGTTCACCATAACCCTTGGGATGCACCCATCCAGACATGATGATTTATGAACATGTTTAATGTTTATGAACATGAATTGCTTTGTTAAGCTGTAATATTTAGTGGAGAAAAATGCATATGAACAAGTCTTGTTCCAAAACATAAGAGTGGCTATAAAGAATGCTTAGGATACAGACAAATAGAGATAACAATAGAAGTTTAAATAAAGCATTACAAAATATATAATACATGAAAAACCTTCTCTAGCTTTAACATGCTTAAATTCATTAGATACCTATTAGCCATAAAAATACTGCCTATAATTAATTTAGTGATATTCAGGTTTGAAGATTCAAAATCAGCTGACAGCAAGGTTCAAACAGGGAATAACAGCATCTATGGAGATTGTTCAAATCTATTTTCATCTCCAGTTGGTAAAAAAACCTGAGCACCTGCTTCAGTATGCTTAACTGTTTCTATTAGTAACCCACAGTACAAGAATTTAGACAAAGAGGTAAAGTCTGAAGTAGTGTGAAGTGTACAGAATTTTCAGATGGATGGATGGATGGATGGGAGGGAGGGAGGGAGGAAGGGAGGAAGGAAGACTAAGGGAGTTTTCACTAAAAATTAATTACATATGTTATTTTAAAATTCACATTTATTATTTCAGGTTTATTTAAATAAATATGTCCTTCCTTCCTTCCTTCCTTCCTTCCTTCCTTCCTTCCTTCCTTCCTTCCTTCCTTCCTTCCTTCCTTTCCATCTTTCCTCCTTTCCTCTCCTCCTTTCCTTTTCTCCTTTCCTCCCTCCCTCCCCGTGAAGGCTAACCATCCACAGCAGGAGTGTGTTAAATTACCAATTCAATTTAAGAGGAATATATATTTTTATATATTTAATGTATTCACAATTGTTTAATTGTCAGAAATCTTGAATGCATGATGTATAAGAAAATCTTTGCTTTACTGAAGGAAATGGTGAGCAAAGAAAAGAAATAGAATCAATTTGTCATAAACCTGGTGGAAGCATCATTTCTTCCTCATCTTGAAAAATGTAAAACGTGTTTACAAGTGGGAACTGCTATTTCTGGGTACCAACCATTTTGAAATCTGTGTTACCCAACGAGGGCCTTTTATCCTGGCTATATATGCTTATAAATATTTTTATTTCTTTATAGAGTTTTAAAAAAATATTATCTTAGTAAAGGAGTAAGAATGCATATAATAATACATAACAAATCTCAATTAAAAAAAAAAAAAAAAAAAAAAACCCCCCCCCCAAAAAAAAAAAAAAAAAGGGAGAAAGTATCTGAAAATCAAATCTTAAAACATTTGTCTTTAAAGTTTGTAAACATGGTTCCCTAGATCTGCATGAGATGTTTGGATAGGTTTATGTGTATTACTGACAAAGGAATCTGACAATGGAGAACAGAAATATGCTTTCTCAAAGGAATACCAAGTGACCTAGCAATAGTCAGGAAGAAGGAAGTCTCAGAAGAGCCTGTTATTCTATTAATTCCTTTAAGACAGTATCACCACTCATTGTCCTGGGTGATAGGACATGGCTGCACAGTGGTGATTGTGGAAGTGCTACATTAACAGTTGGACTGAGCATCTTAGAGGTCTTTTCCACCCTTAGCAATCCTATGCTTCTAAGAAAACAGCTCTGACAGCCTCTTGAAATGGTGTACAAGTTCAGGAGAGCCTTGTTCAATACATGAGATGGACTTTCCTTAGTTCCTGCTTTTGTGGTCATATGGTTTATAGAGAGCATGGGGTCAATTAACTGTCATTGTTATTTTTACACTCTGTACACTTGTCTGAGCTTTATCCAAGGTCTTTTCTTCTTGTGAAGATGGTAACCATCACAAGGAATCTGGCTCTTATTTTCTTATGTTTGCTCCATCTCCTTTTCAAATGCAAGCTTGCTAGGCTAGTCACATATCCATATAATTTTCGACTATGACTTAGAGAGGCTTGGTGAGTTGAAAAAGCCTTCCAGCTAACACTAGGAATTTGTACAAGCTGGGTAGCCAGAGCTTACATTAAGTGCTCTGTACAGATGGCAAAAGCAACTGCTCCTAGAAATAAATGTGGGATTTTCTTGAAGTTAACACTTGTTGAAAGTCAGGAGATTGAAATTTATTCATCCCCCACTGCCCTGACACTGCACGAGGTCAGCTGTCTGACATTAGCATCTTCATTGTACATGATAAACACCTTCCAGATGTGTTAGGACAAAACAAACACCTAATACTGAGGAGACGAGCAGGTGAGTGCAGGGTACATCTTCTCTTTGTGGAGTTGGTATAACTCATGCATAAAGTTAAATTCCAGCTTGTGTTTGCTATTTGCTTGGCTGAGTGAGGGCTCAACAATGAAAAATAAGCAAACAAGCATGATGATGAGTAGGAAAAGGAGCAATATGACCCTTATGGTCAGTGAGTGGAGTCAT